AAACGACATCGACAGGGTGAGAATCGAAAAATGGCCAGCAGTTCACTTGACTTAGACGAATTACTAATTCAAAAGTGTAAATTCAGACATCGTGTTACCGTCAATTGTTAGCCTAGAAAGGCTTTCCCCGAAGGGCTCATACCACCTTGTCGGACAACGGTATGAGTGACACACTTGCTCAGAAATATCTTATCGAATTACTGATGTGGAATGCATCGGGCGTGCACAAACAATCCCCTAAAGTCTGACAGGAGAAGTTGGATGACTGGGCAGGAAAACCAATGTAGATGAAATCTTTCCTTGTCCTTGCTAAAAGCAACTGTTCCATCTGACAAAACGGCAGTAGTTCAGATTGCGAAAACCGTACAGTGGATTGAACCTGTTGAAAACGAAGCTCTGAGGAAGGTTCAGATGCAGCATAATCCAAAATGAAAAATTCAAACGACATGCCGGTACTTGGCTTAGCCGGTCGCCATTGACGAAATTGGAAAATGGTGCAGGTACGTCCAGCTGGCCAAGCTGGATATCCCATTTCACTGGTAGCTTCGTTGGACACAGTCCCAGTGAAATGCTGTGTCCCCCTGCAAACATAGTCCAAAAACAAGAAAAAACAAACCAGAACCATCAACCAACCAAAAGGAAGTTTTACATCTGTGCAGATGGTCCACACACACACACACGCGCGCGCTCTCAGAACTGTCATTGCGAATCTTGTTGTGGAATGCATCTTACATGCAAAAACACTTCCATTTACAGGAATGGGTCGGTGAAGAGGCCCGACAAAGTATCAAGAAGCTACCATCGCCATAGCCAGCGCAGAAAAGGTTGAATTGAAAGCTGACCCTTCCCCTTTCCAGTTCAGAAAAAAACGTCAAAAAATCCAGATTGCGGCAAACGTGCAAACCTCGAAATGAAAGTGTCGGAGAGGGGTTCTCGGCTAAGCCCCATGCCACAGCAGTAAAAACAACTTGCAGGTACGTCACGGTGATCAGCCGTGATATCCGCATGTACTGTGGCCGCTTCGTTGGACCATCGCACGCAGTACATGGATGGTCCCCCTGCAAACTGACATGTAATGGAAAACAAATTCAAAAACAGAATCCGGAAATCCAACAGGTTAGAAGTTTTACATCTCTTCAGGTGCACACACACACAAGACTCCTCAAATTCTGCCACGTCCCATGTCTCAGTTCAAGGCAATGGATCTCATCTGGCCAGGGTGCCGGCGAATGAATTGACACAGAGAGACGTTAGATTCCGATAGTACACCCGATAGATAATTGCTCAGCTCCGATGTGCTCTGGCCGACGAGCGGGACATTGGTTCACAGGCAATTCCACTGATTTTGAGGCACACGTAGTAAACCGACTCTTGACAGACAAGTGCTTGTTACTCAAACAATCAGTGTCTGGAGTCCGGGTCTCTTTGGATTTCTTGAGTGCCTTGGCTAACTGCATGGTGTTCTAAATGTCTGGCAGTCTAAGGTTCAGCGGTTCCTGATGTGCAATTACAGACGCTGCAGCTACACCTTCTAGGCAGCAACCCGATGGATTCATGTACTGATGAATGGAGCTGGCTGTGTGAGTGTGTATATATACATATATGTGTACACACACAGGTTGTTGGATTGGGGTGGCTTTGCTTATACACCTGCTACGAGAGTTGTCTTTTCCCCCAAGATTCATGGCAATTGAGTAGCAATTGAGCTAGCCACGATGAAGGCGTTGCATGTTGCGTCATGTTGCAAGCAAAACAGTTACTCAACTCTAACACCGAATGAATCAACCTGGGCAAAGGATCAAAGGGGATACAACCTAAATTGTTCTGCCTTTTTGAAAGACCATGGTTTCCAAACAATGATAGGGTATGCGAATGTAGTTGTGCATATGTAAATATATATATATATATGCATGATATAACTTGATATAACTCAATATAAAACAAAAAACATCTACAACCTATATATATATAAATATATAACACACTTGTACATATACATATATAACACTATTATACATATATATATATACATACGTACATACATTACATTACATTACATTACATTACATTGCATTACATTACATTACATTACATTACACTACGTTACATTACATTGCATTACGTTACATTGCGTTACATTACATTACATTATATACATACACAACCTAACATAACATAACATTACATAACATTACACTACATTACGCTACATTACATTACATTACATACATGCATACATCCACACATACATACATACATTACATATATAAGCTAAAATAACATTACGAAACATTACATTACATTACATTCCATAACATTGCATTACATACATACAGTACATACATTACATTACATTAAATTACATTACATTGCACTGAATGGCATTACATTACATTACATGACATGCACTACCTTACTTTACTTTACTTTACATTAATACATACATACATACACACATACATACATACATACATACATACATACATACAGACATAACCTA